ATCTCATCTTCCTATAAATACTCCCTCCCTCAAGACAGGAGGGATCATTTTATGTATCGTTATTCTGCTAGTTTATAAGTCTAAAGTCACACACACACATACCCCATCCCTCTTATCAGATAGAGGCATTATACTTGGGATAGTGCTTCCTAGCTTGGTCTTTACTTGTGCTAGAGGCACAACCCATATAGTGATTCATATCCCTCTAGGGAACATACTGGGCTTGTAGATATGGGTGTTCATCAACTGATACAAATCAATTCAATCTGTGGTGATCGAACCGAAAAATCGATAACCGAATAAATCGAAAATCGAAAAAAAAGACCCCGCAGATTTTAATTAGATTGGATTAGTTTTCAGATTGATAGATGAAAACTGATCCAATCCAAACCGATCTAATATATTAATTCCCCTCTACCGACTTGGGTTTTTCCCCAATCATATAGCCCAAAAATTTCTAAACCCAAGATCTATTAACCCATCAACCAATCCCAAGAAAAAATCTAGTCACATCTCATCAACAAAATTTCATCTATGTAGAGCTTCATATCTCATTGTCCAAAAAAAAAAACTATATTATAATTTATTGATGCTTTTGTATTCCAAAAAAAAAAAATTACAAAGCCAATATATATGTAAAAGATGTTATTTGCACAATAATCATGAAACAAATTTTAGGATTTTCACCAAACCGAAAACCAATCTAATCCAAACCGAAAAAATTGGATTGGATCAGATCGGATTTCAAAAAAACCCAAACCGAATGGATGATTATATGATCAAACCGAAGAGATTGAATCAGATGTTTTTTGTTTTCAAAACTAATCTAATCCAGACTGCGAACACCCCTACTTGTAGACCCTTACGGTACACATTGTATTTGTTAGGTTTCGGTTTCAGTTTAGTACTTTTAGCTAATGTTAAGGATATTTTTTTGATTCTTGTCAATATTATTTTTGATTCTTGTCAAATGAAAGCCTTAATTTGAACTCGCCTCAAACATAATTGACTTTTATGAAAGATACATGTGATTTATATATATATATATATATATATATAAAAGACTTTTAAATTTGACTCATGCTAAATAAGATTTTCACCATTATTGGGAGACTGCGTTAGGCAAATTTAAATATGTAATAATATTGATGATTAACGGAGTTGGGAGAAATTTTAAGGGATATGGTTATGTGTTAAAATCACATACTGTATGGTGGTTAATTGCAACAATATGAAGTAGGTCTTTTGAAACATGACCAAAGTGGAATAATAATAATAACTGGAATGATATTGTAACAATCAATTAGTATTACTATTAATCAATTTCACCGTTAGATCGATTATATTAATCAAACGGTTATATTTATTTTTATTTTTGTACAGTTATGATTTTTCATATTTAATATTTTATATTTATTTTCACCTTTGTATTGGTATGATTCTTCATATTTAATGCTTTCACATTAAATATGGGGAATCATAGTCATACAAAGATGAAAATAAATATAATCGTTGAATCAATATAATCAATCTAACGATGAAATTGATTGATAATAACATTGATAATGACAATGGCTAGTTGTTATAATAACCTACCTTAGTTGTTATAATAACCTACCTGATAATAATAACCTTTCATTTGCAACAATATAAAGCAGGACTTTTGAAACATTACAATAATAACCTTTCATTTGATTTTGATCTCTTTTAATTTAGTCGTCTTCTTCTCTAAATGGTGTTAGGGTCTGCGGCGTCTCACTTTGTCTTCGTCCCCAAATATAACGTGTTTCTATTTGACACAAACACAATAGAATATAGCTATTAACCCCATAGCTTTGGTTCTGCAAGTCACGAAATCCAAATACGTCGACAGCACCGTCCTGCGTTTCGTTACGGTACGCAATTTTGCTTGCTACTTAATACCAATTGCAATCAAATACCTGAATGCTAAAGCCTTTTTCATTTTCACTTTGAAAAGATGATAACTTCACTGTTCTTCACTTTGATGTAATGTTATTATTTTTATTGACTTTGTTGTTATTTGATCTAAAATACAGAACCTTTTAATTCTTAATTGGAAATTATGGATCAGAAAGCAGAGAATAGTAGCGGTGTGCCAGTAAAGAATTCCAGCATGTGATGTTGAGGCTTTTAAAAAAGTGTTTGGAAGAGAACAAGGGGGACTTTGTCAAATGCCAATCGCAGATTGAAGCTTTTAAATCATCATGCTCCCTGAAGAAACCAAACACCGTCTCTTGATTCTGCACCACCCCCTCAACACAGATGTTTGACATTAAATTAGATGGATTTTATTTTGAATTTTGATTTCTTGGTTGTGGGAAAAAATGAAGGCATAATCATTTGCACCTGCTGTATAACAACAGTTATGATCAATTGCCTGGGACCCACATTTTTTCGTGTCAGCAGCTGCAGTAACTGCTCAAGACGTATACTCAACCTGGCTGAAGAAATGACAACCCAAAAATGCAATGAATTTTGAGTCTCTATTAAGACATACTCTGTAAAGGACTCGTTCATTTTAAATAAATGTACACGTGATCTACATAGACACGTTTCGACAAATTCTGACACGCGGTTAATAATTTGGGACACGTGCTCAATTCTTTGATATGCTCTGACATATTTTTTTGACTCGTAGTCAATTTTTTTCAACACGTGATCAATGTTCAGATACGTTTTTTTTGTCTTAATTTTATTTTATTAACTAAAAATAAAAAAATCATTTATAAATTAATTTTTTTCTGTTATGAAACTTGAAATGAAAAATTAATAAAGTACGAAAAATTATTTATATTTATATTTATGTTATGAAATTTGAATATTTAATTGGTTATATGACTTATTATAGGTTATTATATGTGTTAAATATAAATTATATTATATATATTAAAAATATTATTTAATATCAAAACGTGTTCTAACTTGTCGAAATATGACATTTTTTAGAATTAACGTATTGGTATGTCGTGTCGTGTCGTGTCCTGTGTCAATGTCGGTGCATCATAGGATATACTCAAGACGTATTAATATTTAATAATTTGTGAGAAAATAATATGTTCTTAAGTCGTAGCTTTGCACAATTATAAATTTCATGAGTTTCATTGCTAGGGCAGGAATTGCTTAGGATGGGAGTGCTGAAGGGTTCTGATGCTGTTGCCACACTTTTGTGCTCATGAATCAATCTTCGATCATGTTTCCTACAATGATGTTGTATCGGTGGATACGGAAAAATCTACAGTGTGTATTAAAATTATTATTACTATCACAATTAATCAATAATTTTTTTTTTAAAATTAGTTTCTATTTCACACGAATTTTGTTTCTCACCAGTAGAGGTGTAAATGGACTAGGCCGACCTATGACCTAGCCTATATTAGGCCAGACTTGACCTATTATAACTAGTAAAATAGAACAGGCCTAGGTTTTTAAAAAAATTTATTTAGAAAATAGGTCATAGGCTTTTTTTGTACATATCGGGTCTATAAGCCTACAAGCCGGCCTATATCATATTATTTATTTTAAATAAAATTATTATTTTAATAATTTTGAATAATAAAGTAATATTTATTTTAGTTATTCTTTTAATTGTTAAATATTTAATAGGCTTAAACAGGCTAACAGGCCTAGGCCAATACTTCTATTTTTTAAATATAGATCATGCAAGATTTTTAATTTGGGGCCTACACAGATTAACAGGTCAGGCCAGATTCAATGTCATTTACACATGCATGACCTATTTAAGCCAAAGCCTAGAATAACCTATTTATACCCCTACTCACATGTTGAGAGTCAAACCAGTAAGAGTACTGGTGATACTGAAATTTCCCTGTCTTTGTTGACACCTTCTATGAATTTTATTGATTCCTTTGAAGACAAATCTAATTGTTCGGTTGTGCGTCCTCTCAAGAAGATTTAATTAGAGAAGGAGTTAAGTACTCAGCTATTTATTTCAAACAAAATTAAGTATTTATTTCAAACAAAATTGAAGATTTTGATACTTGATGATAATGGTTGTGTTACAAATAGTATATTTAACATCGTCTACAAGGAAGTATTTCAAAGATTAATGAGTTGATTTGATGCTGTTTAGACACATTTGTTTCAATGTAAGCAAAATATATGACTCATATATGCCTATTTGGTTAAGTTGCTTTCAAGTCCTTTTCAGACGTTTTTTGGGTTCTAAAAAAAAAATTAATCCAATTTTTTTTGTGAGACTATTACTTCTACGTGTTAACATATTGGTGTAATCTATTTAATGAGTATTTGCATTCTATATCGCAGGCATAAATGTGATAGTAGAAGAGGATGTCCCTGGGAATGCATAATCATAGGAGACCACATGTTTGGTATGTGTTGAACTCATTCCTCCAATGATTGCTACGGAATGACACTGAATTAATAACGTTTTCTTATTATATGTACAAGCTGATATTTTAATTCCATATTTGCTTGGTATGATTGTTACCTTGATTTTATTGGTGGCTGTTATAGTTAGCAATAAGTTGTATGTATTTTTATTTTTTTAGCCATCTTCATGTTAACATAGTCTACTATGGCGTATTTATTTTTACATAAATCATCGAGTAGATAAACTATATTTGATTTGCATAATAATTGATCACTCTGAATAGCATATTTTTGTTTGTGGTTTATATTTGCAAAGTTCTGTGTCAATGCTATAGTTTTTTCCACCTGAAGAATAGAACAAAATAGCAACACATTTTTTTGTAAATATAAGATTTGCATTGCGATTAACCAACTACGGCGATCAACAAAATTTTGATCTTTTTTCCCTGTATATTTCAGTGATAATGCACTAGAATGAAGCTTAAGAAGAGAACCTGACACCCAACAATTTCTTAACAAATTCGTTCCATCTTCGAGCTACAACTAAACACCAAAAAATCACAAAACAATGAACTAATATGGTTTTTACATGACTATTATTTATGTTCTTGTCCACTTAAATTACACAATCATTGTTTCTTGATCACAATGCGGCCATGCTCATTCGTATCAAAAAGACGCTCAATTAATGCATCCCATGTTTTATCCACTGCATTCCTATTGGTTGGACTAAACGAAGACTCAGCCTGTGACCTTCTTGAACTTTCCTCTCCCTCCTCATGAAAAGTTCCATACTGTGATGGTGGTGTAAAAGCATGTGGAACATCTAATGTTTTAGCCCTTTGTAATGCTGCTTCGTATTCTTGACTGTGTCTAGTTAATGGTTCCTGCCTCTCCATGATTTGCTTTGCAGGTACTTCCATGCTAGTATCTTTCTCCCGCATCAACTGCAGTTAGCACAAACAAAATGGCAAAGCTTGACAATAGCATCCAGTAGCCCTAGTTAATTACAGTTAACACAAAACTTCACTTCCCCCAACAAAGTAAAAAATTACAAGGCTGATAGACTTACATTCACAGCCAATTGAGCTTCTTTCTCTATCCAAAAAATGGCATGATCAGATATAGCATTACAAGAAAGGACTGTATGCTCAAACCTTCCATCTACTGGCACTGCTGTCCTCACAACTGGGGGAAACCTTCGCATTCTGCATACAAAAGGTGATAATGTTAAGCGAAAAGAAAAAAGCTGTGTTAACATCTTTTTAAAACGTGACCGTATCAGCATATTCCAGACAATCAAAACGGATATAGTGGCACTTAAGCTACAGATGATTTCCAAAAGTACTTAACCATACGTGAAAGGCTTTCTCTCAACAATGTGATAGAGGCGACCGGGTGCATAGAGTCTCCTTGGATCTTTCAGCATCTTCTCCTCTGGTATACATGTGTCCCTCATGCAACTCAAGGACAATAAGTCTCGCAAACTGCCAACCAAAGAAAACAATATCTTACCATGAAAGCATTTAAGTTACACTGACATTCATTTCCACTAACTATCGACATCAACTAATCACAGCCTGAGTGTCAGTTGTTCATTCATATTTCTCATTAGTCCCCTAGTGCTCCATAAGCTGAGCCTTACAAAACTCTCAGCTTGTTACAAATAACTTGCACTTAACAAAAGAAACATAAAATATAAATCCTATAAAATATTAGAGATATAATTTTTTTTTTTTTGAGAGAAAATAGAAAATATTGATTTCATTGATTGGGTGATTAATTTGTACAGATGAGGCTCTTATATAGAAGAGCATAACTACAAAATAGAAAAATCTAGAATATCTTAACTAAAAATAAAATAAAATATTTATATCTCTAATATCCTACAAATTGGGCAATTGCCACGCTCCACAAACCACAACGTGCAAAATCAAAGAAAGTGAGCATAGATAGAGGGACCACAAATTTAATGCAGGTGGACATCTTGAATGATGCACAGCCAAAAAGAAAACAGGCACGACTAGAAAGGTGCATATTAGGAAAGGGAAGGTACAACCAGAAAAAAACACGGTAGAAAAGCCTGAAATTAATCAAAGAGCATCTCAAATTCAACCAAACACTACTTGGAACCCTCAAACAGCAAAAATAACCTCAAAACTGAACTTTGGAGACCTAGCTAAAAACCTTGGGAAATTGGGAAGGGTGTTCAGAATGCCAAATACTGAGTCGGTTGTGAAAATGGTTCGAATTGGCTTGGTGAAGAATTCAGTCAACCGAGTTAACAGCACAGACTTTAGCATACTAGAACATACTCTAGCCTTGCATAACAAGCAGGATACTCAGGGAGCTACTCTTATACAGTACAACATACCCGAAACCAGACTTGGATATAGCTTCCAATGGAGTGACTGTCCTTGGTAAGAAGTCATCCTGATCAAGGAAAAAAATAGTTAACTTCAAAGTACAAGACTAAGTGTGAATCAAGTATAAAGAAGTTTGTGATGCCGCTCACGCTCAACAGCTACTAGGCTAAAATTTTATATTATCTTAAGCATATGCATATAATAAGCGTAAGCAACATACTATTCGCAAGTATAGATCATGTAACAATCACTATGTTCCACATAAAGCAGACTGTCGGAAAATATTTGTCCTGTGTGTTAAAATTCATGCAAGTCCTCCATAAATTGTTTCTCTCCAGCACGTGAAAAAGTTCATTCATCTATATCACTTGGAAATACCATTGTGGATACCTCCTCGGCTCCTCCCTCCCCCACAAAATAATAATAATAATAAATAAATAAAAAAGAATAAAAAAAGAAAATTAAAGAAGGACAGGCATTGAAATAGAACCTGAACAGAAACAGAACTTTTTGTCTTCCGATGATGCTCCTTTCTCGCCACATATATTAATGGAACAATTAATTAAGAAAGATCTGTATCTTTATGTACAGATATCTGTAGACTGTACCTATGACAATGAATTCTCTCAAAGCAGCAAACTAAATATATATAAATTATAGCTTGGATTTTGAGGTTGTGGGGCTCTATATTCATAATTCATCATTTTTTATTCCTTTACCCTGCTGTGAGTATATGCAAGCCTGGAACAATTAAGGAATGAAATCCAAATATTCAAAATTTAGGTACACTTCGCAAGTCATGTCCTCTTTAATTTATACGCAACGTAAGAAACAAATATCGACAGAAGGCAAATTAAAGCTGAATACCTTCTATACCAACAAATGCTTTAATGTTACCTTCATCACATCCTACAGGATGTAAAAATATTCAAAAGGATGTCAAGGATTCTTCAACTAAACAAATGAGATTCTAATAACTTGCCTGAAGCACAACAGAGTTGATGACATCTGCATATCTGACTGCCAAATTCAGTGACATACACCTAGCAGGTGCAATAGCATAGCACCTGACTCTCTTCCTCTCGATATTTCCAAGTCTTTCTCGATTCTGCACCACCAACATGCTCAACATTGCAGCTACTCCTGATCCAAGGGAATGTCCAGCAAAAGTCAGAGAATAGTTTGGATACCTCTCTACCAATTCCCTCAAAACTTCACATTCAGCATCCAAAACCCATCCAGCAGCCTTCAACAGCCCATTATGAACATAGCCCTCATCAAACACTCCCTTCCCCAATCTATTATCAAACAGAACCGCATAGTCACTCGGCTTTGCCAAATTTAGTCCCCTAATGGCAAGGACTATATCATCATGATCACGATCAATATACAGTATATAGGGTGGTACCCGCCCTTCTGTTTCTTTGTATGTCCTTCTGAGTACTAACCAATCAGGGTTGACTCCATAGCCACCAGGGGGTTCCGTACTAGAATCATCTTTATACACATATGAAATATAGCGACAAAGACGAGGGACAGGCTCAAATTCTTCCGCAATGGCAAGGTCCCAAGTTTTACTGTCATGACCTGCAGTATGAAGACATCCTTTCCAAACCCAACAAGCACAAGCCACCAGAATATCCATGTACACTGAAAACAAATATGGATTTTTCTTCAGAACGGCAAATTTTCTGAAAGTAATGACTTGCTTATACAGAACTAAATATGAACTTCAAATATGAAACTTTTAAGTGCAAACTAAAATGGTACAAGTGTACTTTATTTCTAGTACAATAATTGAGATTATAAAAAAAATTATATTCAATAGTGATCCCTGATCGGAAACTGTAACTTCGAGTAGCAGATATACCACAAAGATAAAATTAAAAAAAAAATAAAAAATTACGCAAGAAGTATGGGTTGAAACTTCAAGTAGGTAGATAGCTCCAGGAATACAATTCAGTAACAGAAAATTGTATTCAAAACAATCTGTAGCGATTATACAATCTGGAGCATATAATATACTCACAAAGATTTCCAAAGTGAGTTGAAGAATATCAAAATTGGAAACAGAGATGAAACTTCCGTTAGAAATTTTAATTTACGTGCACAATATTAATTAATTATTTCTCTGTTTTAAAATTACCGAGGGTAATGGATATTTCAATTGTATTATTTTGATAAATTTGTTGTGATCATGTTGAGTTGAGCTTTTGTCAATTGGCATTTGTTGGTATTGAGCCTAGTTGAGCACAGCAGTGTAAGCTTTAGTGTGACCTTGATTTTCTCTGATCGATGGACCCAATAGACACAAACTCTTTTTAAGATATTTGGCTAGGTCCTCTCTCTAACCTATTTATATTGGGATTAATTTCCATGAGCTATCATGTTTCCATCGCTAAAACTGCCACTTTCGGAATAGGTTATAGAGAAGAAAATCCTAGCTTATTGTCCCTCTTTTCCTCCCACTTTGTGATGGCTTAACGAGGTACGCAAGATCTCATATTTTGATTTCATATTATTTTGGTATTTTATAATCATATACATAATCATGAAATTTTAAATCTTACCTTTGATATCAAAGTCACGTATATATAATTATAAAATCTATATTGTTGAATCGAATCATAGAAATTGAGATTTTTGTTTAAAGGTCGAAACTTTGAATAAAAATAATAATAGATAAATAAATTGTTCGATTAAGAACACGTTATTGTTTTCATGTTGGTTGGAATTGGTGTGGATTGCTTTTATTTCAATGTTGATGATTGGTTACTCACATCTCGATTTCTGTGAATTTTTATTCAACCTTTGTGGTCTTTGGATTTATGATTTTTTGAACATTCCACGTTGTTTACCTTGTTTGTGTATCTAAATTTTATTTCTGCCATCGAATGCCAACAAGGTCAAATATTAAAGCTTTTTATGCAAGAATCGTAGCATCTAAAAAGATGCCTGCACCACTGCTAACAAGTTGTTTTATTAAATTAAATATATAATGTGAAATTTTGTAGCCATTTCCAACTACTTGCCATGGCAGTAGCCCATGTGACCATTAGATTAGCCAACAAACACTATATTAAGTTTATGAATTAATTAAAAAATAAAAAATATTGACATCCGAGACATGTGTATATCTTCCATCTTCTTTTATGTGTTACTGTTTCACAATTTTGAAAATTATGTTTCGTGAAACTTGACATGACTATCAGGTGGTGTTTGGTTGGGAGCTTCTCAGCGGATATCTATCTTTCTCAAGTATGGCTTTTAGAAACACCATGTTTGTTTTAACGTTTTTACCAAAAACTCATCTATCCAATTTGTCTGGATTTATGAGAAACATAGATATCTGCACAGTTTAGAAACCCAATTTGAAGGTAAGATTTTTCGGAAAACCGGTTATCTGGCTTTTAATGCACTGTTGATTTCATAAAGTTACCTAATTTTTCCAGTAAAGTTTTTTCCTTCCAAACAACTTTTTTTTATATTTTTCTATCTATCTCACTTTATCTATCTTTCCAATTATTTTTCTATCTATCTCATTTCCCTATTATTCCAAAAAAAAAAAAATTCCTGAACCAAACGCCCTTAATAGTTTTGTTTTTATTTACTGTTGTTATTGCTTGAACATTTGATTTTTGGTTTGACCTGCATTTCGTGGTTTCACATTCAGATTTTATTACATTAGGCCGCTCACGATTAGTAACGTGAATTACACTTTTGGTTTCACATTCGATTTTTCACTGTTAGTGAAACGGTAGTTGCAGTTTTTTTTACACTGTTATCTTGATTAAAATTCACATCCATAATGCTTGAGCACATTTTCATTTTATTTTGATTTTTGTTAAATGTGTCTAATTGTCGCTTTATTAAAGAAAATTTCTGATTTCATTTTATTAAGTGCGTTACTGTTATATTATTATTGTCTTTGTACAATTATGAGTTGGTTTCTTGTTTTCACACTTACTGGAAAGCACAGACACACAACTTTTTAAAAAATTTGGGTGTCCGACACGTGTCCGACACGCGGTCTACATTTGGGGGCACGCGGTCAATTCTTCGACACGCTTTTTCGACACACAGTCAACTTTTTTCGATACGCGGTCAACGCTCGGACACATTTTTTTTTTTAAATCTTAATTTTATTTTGTTAACTAAATATAAAAGAAATATTTTATAAATTAATTTTTTTTTGTTATAAAATTTGACATGAAAAATTAACAAAGTACGAAAAATTATTTATATTTATATTTATGTTATGAAATTTAAATATTTGATTATAGACTCTTATATGTATTAAATATAAATTATATTATATATATTAAAAAATTTATTTAATATCAAAACATGTCCCAACGTGTCGAAATATGACATTTTTTAGAATTAACGTGTTAGCGTGTCATGTCGTGTCCCGTGTCCGTGCATCATAGCTTACTGTTGCGTGGGCAACTAAGCATAGGCTTAGTGTTCGGATATTTTGGATCTCATTTCTGGATATTGGCATTTTTTTTACTGTGAATTGAACTCCACTTTTGGTTTCACTTATAATTTTGAAATTTGTTTGATATCGTGAAAAACAATGTTTCATGGCTTTATTTATCTTAGCATGAATACTTATATTTATTTTGAATCGCATAGATGAGTTAGTATTAACATTTATTACTTATTAGTATGTGGGAATTAAGTATCATATTTTGAATTTTATATTCACTGCACATGCGTGTCACTTATATAAAATAGTTTTACATGGGTAAGTCTCACAATACATAAACTTTGAATTTTTTAGGACATTTTTCGACTGTGCATCTTTTGTGGAATAACTTTCAAAATGGTGTATTTTTAGAATCTTGGTGAATTATTTTATTTAATGCTAACGTGAATTATTTTCTTGGTTATTATCTTCTATGTTTACTATTTTATTTTATTTTGGATTACATCCGGGTATCTTCACAGCCGATAGCCATGAGACTAATCACTCGCCCCGGGTCAGCGCACAAAGCGGTAAAGAGCTGGCCACGAAATGCTTTCCATTCACAAGAGTTGGGGTTCGAACCCCCAACCACTTGCTTAAGTATGTTTACTATTTCAATTAGCAATTAGCACGAAGTTAGTTGTTATTGTTTTCAAAAAAATAGTGGCGTTACTGGCAGGATTTATTAGTTTGTTTTAACTAATTTTCATTTCCTAAATATTTTGGATTGTTAGCTTGAATTGTGGTGTATTCAGATTTAGAGATTCTTGAAATCCATTTACACTTTCAGTTACAGTTTCACATTTGGGTGTTAGTGAAACACTTTATTTTGTGAAATGAGTGGATTATTATTTTTTATTGGATTTGGCCTTTCATTTCAACGTGAGTTGAAACTTTTGATTGGATCTCTATATCTTAATATATATTTTTTTGGATATAAGTGTTATTTATGTACTGTTTAGTCATGGAATTCTATGTTTAATATTTTGACTGAATTTTCGATTTCCTTGACTTTAGTGAGTGTATTACTGTTACAATATTATTGTTTTCGTATAGTTATGTCACTCACGCATTAATTGCTAATGCTTTATATATGGGAGCTTAAAGTATTAAAGTCATGCCCTTGACTTCTGTATTATTTTCTTAAATGTTGATTTTGTGGTAGAAATTGGGATCATTTATACGGTTTGTATGCACAAATATTTCTTTTTTGCTTTGCCTTTTTCTATTTGCCTAATTACTATTATTAGGGATATTCTATTTATATTACATTAAGTGGACTATTGGGATTATTGTTGGGCTTTAATCATTAAAGTTTCAATATTCATTTTGGCTGACATGTTATTTTTCGTACTTTAGATTTTACATCTGATTTGGGCCTGTAAATTATTGGACATTTGGTTTTGATTTCAGTGAAATAAGTGAAAACCATTTGGACTTTTGCATAGTTTTGTGAAATAGGTTCACTTGGGTATGTCTCATAATTAATAAACTTTGTCATTTTTGGGACATTTTAGTGGGTTTTCACATTTCACATTTTGGATTTAGTAAAATTGGTTTCATACTTCATTTGACAATATGGTTCTTCAATATTTTATTTAATTGGCACATTTATGACTAGTTCACCGTCATTAGTTTTTGGCATTGCAAAAACATTGTTGCCGTGTTTTTAGTCTTATTGATTGTTATGTATTGCATCGTGACTTGTGATTGACAATAGAATAAATGCAATTAATCATATTTTGCATTGAAATTTTTTATTGTAGCTTAATATATAAAAATTAATATTTACTTCATTTGGTGGTGCTATTGAATCATTTTATTGAATAAAAAGGAGTAAGTTAGTGTATAATTTGGCATTAATTGCATGTGGCAAAAGGAAGGTAAATGGGTATAACGGATTCTGAACTCATGACTGAATGTTAATATTTATACACCGTGTGAATTAAATTAGACAATTTTTAATGTAATGTATTATAATGATTTGATTGTATGTATTAATTAAAGTTTCCTTATACATACAATATTCAGATGAATAATTTGAGTATTTTGATATTATTGCCTATGGTTCGAAGCAATAATTTGGGTTTGGAAATTAATGTCAAGTGATCCATATAATTTCATTTAATTAAGAATTAGCCTCAGTACCTTTAATTATTTCAATTATATATTAA